ATATCATATTTTTTGCAAGAAGTACATTATATTCATTCTCATTACTGGGTAATGGGCAGCGGCTGTTCACAGATATACATAAGCATATACATATGTACTATATATAGAGGCGAGTGTAGGTTTTTCAGATAAAGCGTTGAATCATGCATACGATTTATGTTCTCATGACCGCGACACTGTTTACAATAATCACCAACAAGAGGGCTTCGGCTAACAAAGCAAACTTCGCGAATTGCTACACTTGCGCAAAAGGCTGAGGTCGCATTTCAGTTTCAAAAGCCGCCACACGGAAAAATGAGCAGCAACGGCATTAACAAAGAGAAAGCACCAAATGACAAAAAAGTGCATTTGCATGCAGCCATGCAGCTGTGGATAGTCAGTTAGCCAGTCAGCCAATCACCCAATCAGTCAGTCAGTCAGCTTTCCAGGGTTCAAGTGGCATTTCATTGAGAGAATGGAAAAGAAATGAGAGATGAACTCATATATACTCGTATATCTGTACTATACATCTGCATATATGTATGTATATATGTAATAGGAGTATGTACGCATCCACCAATCTGGGACGGGGACAATGTCTACTGATTATATAAGCAAACCAGATGGCAACGTCGATTTCTAAGTGGTTTGACAACATTTCATGGCTTGTTGCTTTTTATCGATATAATTTTGATTCGAAAAACGTGCGCGCATGCGTATTCGGCACTTGACAAATGTTGCACGCGACGGATCGAAGAGAAGTGGGATCGGGCGTGATTGTCACGTGACTATCTTTTTAAACACGATGCAGCAATTTATATAAAGTACTTGCAAAGCCCATTCAACAGACATTAAAAAAAGGTCAAGTTTTTAAAGTTTTGAAGTGTTAGCATTCACAGTGTATCAATTAAAATCTTAATTGGGCGTGGATTAATGTTCTATTTAATGAAATTGACGCGTATTCACTTCATTTGCACCAGAACGGTAGATCTAAAAGAGGACAAAAAGGCTTATATAACTCTCTGCAATAAGGTCCAATTTTGAGTAAAGGCTGTATTTAAAAATTAATCTTCTTTCACCATTAGACCGCTGACTATATTTTTGCATTACAAATAATTCACAAAAAACAATTTTAAAGGCCTTTTTTGTCACGATCGCATCTCTAATCCAAAATACGATTTTCTTCTGAATTTGTCTTTGGAGTGTATATTTACATATGCATGTACATATTTATGTACAGCTGTGCTCAAAATAATAGTAGTGCTTTCATAAAAATTTAGTTCGTTCAAAAAATGTATGAAATGGTGTTTTAATGAATTTAAAATAATTTGTATTATTAAGTATAGTATATTAACAAGTAAATCATAAAGAAATAACTACAAATTCTGTTCATATAACAATTTTAATAATTTTTTTCCCAAAACTTCATTAATTTGGTCGCTCAAAATAATAGTAGTGTTTCATTTGTTGGCCTCTTACTTGTCCCAACTGATCCAAATAATACGGTTTTTATTTTAATTACTCATATTAGGTCTTTCTAAATAATATTAGTATTTTGTAGCATAGTCTTCGTGTGCAAGAACTGCAGCACATCGCTTTGGCATGGAGTCCATGGGATTGTGACATCTTTGAGGAGGAATGGAGCTCCAAGCATGTCTAACTGGTTCCCAAAGCTGTTCAAAATTAGTTGGTTTACGCTTGGCAACTTCCTTCTTCACATCGTGCTATAAATTCTCAATCGGGTTGAGATCAGGAGACTGTGCCGGCCATTCTAGAACATTGATCCTGTTAGTTTGAAACCATTGTTGGGCAACATTACTTGTGGGCTTCGGATCATTATCCTGCTGGAATACCCAAATTAGTGGCATTTCATCACTGGCATATGGCAGCATAATATTCTGCATTATATGCACATAAAGGTGGCAATCCATGGCATTCCGGATCCAATATATAAGCCCCGCGTCGTAATATGAAAAACTGGCCCAGATCATAATACGAGCTCCTCCGTGTTTTACGGTTTTCGTTGTGAATCGAGGGTGCATTCAGTGTTTGGTGGCCGCCTAACATACTGACGAGACCCAGCTCCACCAAAAAGCGTGATTTTCGATTCATCTGATCATAAAATGTTTCTCCATTACTGCACTGGCCAATCAATGTGGTTTTGTGCAAATTTAATTCGTTTTGCCAGATGTTTTTTTGTGAGAAGGGGCACTTTCCTTGGACTCCGAGCTGCCAAATTATTTTGCAGTAGGCATCTCCGTATTATTTGTGTACTAGTATGGAGATTTAATTCATCTCTTGTATCGGTAGAGCTCGCAAATGGGTTCTGCCTAAAGTATCTCACTACAAGGGTCGCCAATTTATCTGACATAGCGCGAGGTCTTCCGCGTGCTTAGGGGCCTGGGATAAATTTTATACCATTACACACCGTTGTAGGAGGACAACCTACTATATTTTGGACTTCATTGTAAGTTTTTCCCTCAGATATCAATTTTTGAATGAGTGCACGTCGTTCAGGAGTGCAGTGCTTGGCTCTACCCATATCAGAAAAAAAAAAACAAACTAAAATGTGTATTGGAAACTATAGTAAACTATTAAAAAATAATATAACTTACTATTAGCAACTTTTCGTGAGCTTAAGGAGCGACACACTTAATATTTTTGGAATGTTTGCGCAAGCACTACTATTATTTTGAGCGCGTAGAATAGGGACTAGCTGTGGAAAATGCAAATAACAACAACAACAAGTGCACAAAAAGCTAAAGTAACGCGTCATTTTATTGTGCTCTTGTTGTAGATCACATAGGTAGAAAGAAAGGATTAAAATTGAAAGGAAACACAAAAATACGAACGGTAGAACGTTGTGAAAAATATCACTACTATTATTTTGAGCACAACTGTATGTATGTGGGCTGTTTTGCATTTCAACTGACTTAAGCAGTTGTTCTTTTTGTTTACAGAAAGCTCGGAGGTGACGGACTTGGTTTCTTTTGACACTGTTGTTGCCATTGACAAAGCTCTGCTCAACGCTATGTAAACAATAAAAAAAAACACTCATGCGGAAAAATGCATACATACTTAAATACATAGAAATGCATATGCGATTGCATGTGGAAAAATATGCAGTAATCGCATTTTAATAATAATAAACGATTTATTTGATTGATTTTTGCGCCGTGCATACATAATCATGTCGGCTTACAGTGGGTGAGAGGAGGAGAGTGCGGTAAAGAGGGCCAAAGAGAGTAAAGAGAGCAAATGCAAGCCTACAGTTTGGCAGTCACCGAAAATTTAGCAACAACTATGACAAACAGTCGCGTAAAGAAAGTTTGTAGCAAAACAGACACACACATACAAATACGCACACAATGACACCCCAAACAGCGGTAAAATGTGTGTCAGAACACGAGTAAAGCTTAATATGTTTATAATTGTTTAAATTGCTAAACAATTAAGAAAGCGGGCGAACGTGTGTGTTTCAGCTAAAGCTCATGAGTTATGAGGCATATATAAAAAATAAATGAAAAATAAAATGAAAAATAGTTCTGAAAAGGTTTCAGGGTATGTACATTCATGCATACATATTTATGTACGTATGTATCACGTCCATCATCACTTGCGGCGCCGCCTGTGCCGTTTTGTGCCATTTAAGCGGCAGTTTTACGCACTCGCTGTTGCCAGAGTCAACAACAGGTGGCCCAGTGGCCCATCACGTCACGACATTAAAGCTGATGTTTCTTTTCTAGCGTAGCGCACTGTCAACAGTCTTTTGCCAGTGGGTCACATTTTTGTGCTTTTTGCTTAGCTTATACGCAGGTCGCAAAAAACCGAAGGGAATCTGTGTTAGTGTATGTGTGTGTGTGTGTGTGTGTGCAACAAACGGGAGCAATAAGCAGTTATTAGTTACAGTTCGAGATGGATAAGGGTCGGCCTTTTCTAGGGACGACAAGACTTGAAAGGGACACATATATATGCGTTTTAAATCGACTCATTAACAGAAACTGGAAATTGTTTTTATTACATATACATACATACATATGTACATATGTATGAGTTCATTGGTAGAACTATCATAAAAATGGCTTTAAAGAAGCTTAATCTGAATTGGCACTGACATTTTTATAAAATGTCTTGTTTTAAACTTTGGCATTTGAAACATCAACTATACATATCTGCACTTATCGAGCCAACATGTTTTTCCCTAACACGTTATTCAACGCACTTTTTTTTATCAAATAATAAAACACATACATGTTCATGTACAGTATATACACAAATGCGTGTGAATTTCTAAAAGAAATGTGGAGAGGGTTTTTTTATCAAATACTTTTTAGAGTTTGTTTAGTTTGAGTTATTTTTGCATGCGTTCTTGAATTAACAGAACTAAACTAATTAATCGAAATATAAATCACTAACTTGTGTGCGCATGCAGTACTACAAGTACGATGGACTCTAAATGGAAACACAGCCCATGCCAAATCGAGTTGTAAGGTATGATGTTTGTATGTACAAACAATCTGTAAATGTATTCACATGCATTTACAATTCAACTAAAGTGAATGCAAATGGAATGCAATTGCTGAAAACTGTAGTGTTGGACTCTCAAACTGTATATAACTCTCAATTTGCTTACAGTTTATCGAGCAATTAGCATTGTTTTCCTTCAAAACAAGTACGGATATACATATGTATGTATGTACATTTGAAAGTATTTGTTATTTACTTCATTGAAGATAGGATAGAGTGTTTTTAATGTCACAAATACAACGACATTTTCTTGCAAGATGCGGGTGCGGCGCCTGCACAAAATGCACAGACACAAATGATAAAGAGAGTGAGCGAGAGAGAGTTGGTTCGTGCGCTCACACCTGATTGTTGTTTTGTTTTGATAGACCAGTTAAAATATCAACAACAACACACTCGGCTCTGGTATTTGGCGCGTCTGCAAATGTGGTTTTAAATATTCAAACGGTGCCATGCAAATTAGAAAACCGCATGAAAGTGTGGTTTGAGCAACTTACCTTTCGATTTAGATTTTCCGAGCTGCGCTGCTCAATTTTTAAGCAATTATAAATTTATAGGAGCGCATATATGTAAGTATGTGTGTACATATATTTTTAAACCAAAACTGGTATTTATATTTCGATTCACTATCATTAAGCGCACCACAATAACAAAAATAAAATAAAATTGATTAGCAATGTCCATTCAGGCAAATGTTTCTTAAGCTGACGCAAACATATTTCGCTACATTCTATATATGTATATATTTTGTTTTATCGAATGTACTATCGCTTAGCCCAGGCTTACAATAACAATAAATGTTGCTGCTGCAGACGGCCTTTATTTATGATTTGTGTTGTTTGCATATACAAATATACATTCTATACATATGTATATAATAGTATGAACACGGGTGTGTGCAAGTGAATCATTTTCTATGCCACATATTGATACACACTAGCACATGCGCACATTCATAAAATCGCGACGTTTTTTTATCAACTGCTACTGCAAAACTGTTTGTCCAATGAGTCGCCGCAACAAGTGGTATGAAGTCGAGTGAACTGGGACTGGTCTTATTGAGGCTGACCGGCGGCCGATAAAAAAGAAATAATGAATGTTAACTAAACCACTACGCACGTACACGTAACATTGGACACGCCGCGCAGCAACGCACAAATATCTGTTAGGAATCACAACAACAACTCGCGGTTGCGCCTGCTCTTTGTTTTTTATTGTTTTTGATACTGCGTCAACATTTTACGCGACGCGCATTCTTCTTACGTATAGCGCCGCCGAGATCTGGCGCTTACCACGGTTCATTCGAAACTCTTGAAAAAATCGCTTTTTCAGCGAATGAACGTTTCAACTGTTATCGATATCTCCAGCTGGCTTTTTCGACTGCTGTCGATATTGTCAGCTGGACTTTGAACTGCCACTTCGCTGAAAAAGATCACCCAAGAAACGGAAAGTGCTGCCACTCAATCTAAATAAATATGCAAGACATTCCGTTGATTTAGGTTTATATAAAAAATGGAAACATGAACAAAACAATTTTTAAACTACACTAACAATTTCGACAAACTGCTTAAGATTGGGGGAAGATAGAAGTTAGAAAATAGACATTTGAATACAGTCCAAGGCGACATCACACACAACTGCTAATGGAACTACTTCCAAATCACGGTCACATTCGTATCTTTCTCAATATCCTTCTCGATGGTGTATGGCGACAGGCCAGTCTTGCAACAAATCTCATCGAAGCTGATAAGGCCAGTGTACATTTTCTGACGGCATGAGGGTACCGATCCCGTAAACACGGGATATTTATGAATGCAGCGTATAAATTTGTGCTGCAGACCGAAAATAACCAGCTTGCGTTCGTCGATGTTGTGATTTTGGGGACACAGACGTTGGCAGATGGCCCGCAATGTGACACCGTGTGTCATTGAGGCATAGAACTGGAAGATCTTCTGCACGCTGGGCAAGGTCTTGTCCGGATTCAGAGCCACGTATTTCCGGCAAGCATTACTAAGCGCAGTACTCTGGATTAGATGCTTGAGGTTTTGCGTCATATACACGTTGCTGTACTTCAATATGGGCAGCAGCTGCACCACACCATAATAGACAAGGTTCTGAATACACGACTTCACCAAATCCGTTTCCACATCCGCCTCGGCAGCTATGCGTGCCACATGATTGATGCCATTGATGTACGGCAGAATCTACGAGTGTGTGAAAGAGAGAGATGGAAGATGTTGTTGTGCATGTGTTGTGTTCTCACCTGCTGCGTGGTCAGATCCCAGTTTTCCAATGGCTTGTTTCGGAAATTAACCAATAATAAAGGCACCATGTGATCCTTCACAGATGGCGGATCCGGTTTGTGCATTACAATTTTTAAGTAGATGGTGTTGTCACCCTCAACAATTGTTGCTACTTTGCGTTCATTCAAATCCCTGAGCACAGTCTCGAATATGTTTTGCAGTCGCACTTTGTCGTCCTCCCGCGATAAAAAACAGGACTCCTCTTCCATCATAATGAGGTATTCCGATAGCTTTTTCACCACCGGCTCGTATTGTACAGAACGTGCGCGTGAATCGCACACGAAGCACAAATTAAATAGGAATGCATTACGGGCATATTTCTGCTGGTCCTGTATATCCACCGGATAGCCGACTATTTTTACATCCATGGTATTCACGGTTAGGATGCAGCGTTGCAGATGCTGTTTGGGTATAATATACACGTTGATGGCATCGAACACTTCCTTGGAAATATAGTTGTCGGGCACCTATACAACGATATATGAAGATCCTTAATTGAATGTATTGTGTTGTCACTTACCTGACAACTAATCTTGCAGCCCGCAGTGGCATGAAATTCGCTTAGGAAGATGCAGCGTATTTTGCCCTCTGTGCTGCCACCAACGCTGCTACCGATGCCGTTGGCACCTTCGTTTGCATGGGAGTGCATGGTTACCTCTTGTGCGTCCACCACAATCACAGCATTTTATTATTCTGGGCAAACTCCTCTTCTCCTCACAATAGAATATTAGCTATCATCTTTAAGGGGTGGGTGTGGGTGGTTTACGCCACCTGTTCGTGGCGTTGCCATCCTTTCGTAGAGCTGCCAGAAAATATAGTACCCTTTTCGCAATAGTGCTGAGAATTGGCATTGCCGCACACTGGCTGTCCGATTGCAGTGTGAAAATAAATTGGTTTAGTTTTCACGCCATTTAAATAAATTAAAATTAACCGAATTAAATAATGACAAACGAAAGCACAAATGCTGCGGAGCGGCTAAAGTTGGGCCCACGTGAAGGTGTCACTTATCCAGTGGTCATGAAATACTGCGGACACTGCAGCATGCCAATAGAGGTGATTTTGTTGTTGTTTCTGCCGGCAGCTAAATATGTTATTTATTTTCTTTTCCCCATCGGCAGTACTGCGAATACTATCCAGAGTACGAAAAGTGCAAGGAGTGGCTGGAGCGCAATCTTCCCGATGACTTTGAGCGCCTCAAAATCGAGGAAGAGCAGGCATCGGCTGATGGCACAGATGATGACAAAAAACGTCAAAAACGTGGTGGTAAGGGACTTCTACGTGTAAAGAAGAAGGAGGATGTGCCCAAGCGTATATGTGTGTCACGCGCAGCCCGCGGAAAGAAGAAGTCTGTGACAGTTGTAACTGGTCTAAGTACCTTTGGTGAGTTTTCCATCATGCATGAAATCTACTCTTGCTAAAGGTCCTGCTTGCATTTCACAGATATTGATCTTAAAGTTGCTGCCAAATTCTTTGGTACTAAATTTGCCTGCGGCTCTTCGGTAACAGGCGATGACGAGATCGTAATACAGGGCGACGTTAAGGACGAACTTTTTGATGTCATACCAGATAAGTGGGCTGAAATTGACGAAGATGTCATCGAGGATCTGGGCGACTTAAAGCGTTAGTTAGTGAACGATCAAAAGTTGGTCTTCTCTTGTTTACGATCTGTGCTTATTTTATACGCAAATTACATCAAATACAAAACAAGTTACATTTTAATTCGATCCTGTATTTAACTATTATGCTGTTGCTGCGTTGTGCCGCTATTATGGAAATGTGTGTGTGTCAGCTCAATGATCTTTTCGTTTTCCGTATCGGTAAGCGGTGCTTTGTTGTCGTCAATAAGCTGAAAGGGATTACAGATGTAAACTGGGATGACTACATTCAGTTGTAACAATGTATTTACCAGCTGTGTATGCAGGGGACTCGTGGGCGGATCGTTAACCATTTGTAGCATCTCGTGGGGCTTCAGTCGATAATTGCGCAGATCACGCAAATAGTTGGTAATGGATTCACGTGTTTGATTTTTGCAGGGAGAGTCCTCTAAATACTGCAACGCCTGAAATGGTTTGGATATTAGAATATAGGTAGGAAAGGTCTCCAGTACTTAGCATACCTCATATGTTACAGTAGCCAGGTTGCGCATGCCAAACTTTTTCTTAGAGCTCTTTATTTTCTGCAGCATCTCCATTACCTCCAGGTTGGTGACATACGAGTATGTGGCGTTGACACTGCGGGAAAGAGAGTGTTCATTATATATGAGCATAAGCAGGGCTTAAGAACTGATAGTACTAACGTCTCCATGGCTCCGAGGCGCGCACTTTCTGATTAGTAGGAAATTAACTAACTTAAATATTTGATATCATCATTTGCGCTATAAAGTATTGGCAGCACTGCAGGGTAACATTCATTTTGCTTGGCAGCACTGCCTTCTTAAACACAAGTTGGCCTTGCCAGACTGGGTTTTGGCGCTTGTTTTTATTAACCGCCTGAAACACGTATTGCTCTTCGCATCGACATTCCACTCAGTTCATAAACTAAACTACAAAATCGAATAATACGAATATAATGGCTATTGCTGATAAACGCCAATTGGGTACCCCCGAGGAGGCAAAGGTAAATAAAATGGTTGTTAGGGAAAAAGAACGTGCCCATTACAGACGACTTGCCGCCCAGGCCCCGAATATGCCGCCCAACTGGAGATTGGAGCAGCAGAAGCAATGGTGCGAGCGTCGGATGCGTCGTTTGTACACCGCCGATAAGCGTGCTGCTAAGCGCCATTCCGCGTTGCATCTCATGAGGGCAATGACTGCACGGAAGCGTCATAAGTTTTTCTCTTGGTACTCACTTGGACTACTAACTTTGGTGGCCGCCATAAGTTTATGCATACCGCTATATCGCAATCGCTCTGTTGTTTCCAAGTTCAAGCAGATGTATTCTAGTCAGTACCAAGCAATAGTCCACAATAAGCAGAACTACTGCGAGAGCGCTATGCCGCTTGACGACTTGTTCGGCCACTTGCATGCCAATGTGATCGGTCAGGATGCTGCGCTAAAACAGCTGGAACAGGCCTTGGCCCAGCAGAACCACTTCCAATCTATAGCTTTGGTAGGTTCTTCAGGCATTGGCAAAAGCTTGACAGTTCGCCTCCTGCGGGAACATTTCCCGTGGCTGGAAAATGTGCGCACTTATGCATGGAACGACCAATACAACCGTCTGGAGGAGGGAAACTTTGAGACAGTTCGACGGTTGCTGGAGAATCTGGCACACTGCGGCCGCAATCTGCTAGTCATCGACAACATGGCGTCCAGCGATGCATCATTCGTACCGGCTATCAACGAGCTTGTAATTTCTAGCGCCCCAAATGTTACTAAAAACTCTTCCGATGTCCAACTACTTACGATTATATACGTCTTCAATTTAAATCGAATGCTGCTCGATGAACCCTACGAACACCAATTAAAGGCGCTACAACACCTTCCAAACACCACGGTCATCAACTACCGCACCTTTGGATGCAGGGAATTCATGAAATGTGTTAGCCACGAAGCCAAGTTGGCGCGCATGCAATTAGATGAGCGTGTTACGCAAGAAATGCTGGACACAGCCGATGTCAAGGTTTCAGGATGTAAAACAGTGCGCGCCAAGGTGCTCATCTATGGGAAGTTAAGCGACGACGTGGACATAAAACAACCGTAGTTTTTAATAACAAATGATCAAAAACATACAAATTAAGAAACTAATCACAGACTGATTCCACGAACTAACTGATGTTTATGCTAAGCTACATGGATAGATATGTCGCATCACTTTGCCATAGAAAATTGGAAAAACAATGCAATTAATGCAATCCAAAGAAATTGTTAGCTGAGCAATAAGAAATTGTATAATTTGCATGTGATAGGAAAGTCTGACTTAATACATAACTTAGACAAACGGAAACCGTACTCTTCACTGTAATACTCATAAGTCTGTTTATAGAAGTAAAAAATTGTATACAAAAGACTTGTAATTAATTATAAACTTCTAGACTATTAACTATTATTTTTATATTCAGGAATTCATGACTACTATGACAAAAAGACTTAAGCCCCAAAGATGTCACAGAAAGAAAGTATATTGATTTGTTACTCGTATAAATATATATTTTTAAACCTACTCACAATTTGAAACAAATAAATAAATTTTGAATAATTGTATTCAGTTAGAGCGAAATCCTTGTGTGCAAAAAATCTTTAAATTTCATCGATATATTCCTTACCTAATTGCATTTTAAAATGGTGTTTGCTAACATATACAAGGTGTATAAAGTTAATTATTGGACGTATTATTTTGCATTAAAACTACGGAAATATGAAGGAAGAACTTCGCGTTTCCTTTTGTGTGGAAGTTACGTTTAAAAACAATGCACTATGCTGCCATATTTTACAAATTTACAAACATATATGTATGTAGTTTGTGTTATATATTTTATAACTAAAATAAAAATTTAAAGAAACAATTAAACTTTTTATAAATTATTTTTTTATATCCTTACTCAAGCTTATTCAAGCAACAAGTAACCTTTTCATAAACAGCAAATCGACGCACTGCAGCTGTTTCAATCAGCTGTTTATAGCATTCGGAAAATAAATAAAAATATGATTTGCAAATTTATTTTCACGAAATAAAAATTACTTCTATTTTGCTAGATTTCGGAGCAGTGTAAAAATGAAAAAAAAAATAAGCTCCCTTTTTTATTCAACACAATCGGAGCTATATTTCGGCTATAGCAGAGCAAGGTTTCGATCCTCGGACCTCTGGGTTATGGGCCCAGCACGCTTCCACTGCGCCACTCTGCTTGTTGTTTGATTTTCGCCAAAACACTATATGGCATCAGAGTTGTTTGCGAAAATGCTCGAATGGTGTCCTCTCAAACAAACATCTTACAATTTAGTACATTTAACGCATTTATATTTTGCATTAGAGTATACAAGTTGAAGAAATTTGTTTAATCAATGGAAATAAAGCAAAAAAAACTTCTCAATAAAAAATGCATAATTGCTAAAACAAAAAATATTAAATATTACTTCGCACTCACAAATGATTGCTTTGTTTTTTTTTTTTATAATAATAATAATGATTATTAAATGCAGGATGATGCAAATTTGCAAAAAAAAACTAGTCCAATGCAGACGTTCCTGTAATGTTTGCGATTTGCGAAAAAGGCAGCCCTAAAGTATGCTATACAATTTGTAATGCCATCAAGAATGTTTTTTTTATGTCTCCCTTTTGCACAGTGACTTATAATTGTTATTTTACCATTTAAAATATTCTATGACTTGGCGTAAAAGGTAAATTACAAAATTTATTTTAAAAAAAATTTTTTAAGTTAATACTTGGGCTTAGCAGAGTTACATTTAGAAAGCAGTGTTTGTTTTTGTTACCGTTTCGCTTTGCAACAATCAAGCATTGGCAAGCAGTTCAGGTGCAGTGCAGTTTAGTTTGGTTCGCACCCACAGATAAGTATAAGTAGTATTATATGTAGCAATGGTTTTTCAAATATATAAAAAACAATAATATGGTCAATATCAAACGGTATTCGTACTATATGTAGTATATAAGAGGGAGGCGATAGATTAATATGCGTTTTGTATGTTTTGTCAGTTTAGCCACCAAGTGCAAGGCTTTTTGCACCTAAAGTGTATTCGTATGCATAAGTTTAACAGTATGTGCCAAAACTAATGCCATCATTTGAAATCGCTGTTGACAATTATTCCCATTTACTTCCGGTGCACTGGCCTCGCTCCTATGTGGCCTGCATGTCGAGCAAAAACTTAGCTATCGATGCCAAAACTAAATAAAACATTAATTGAAAATTAAAGCTAAGTGGTTAGAAGCCAATGGGGCATCCAATACACCCACTCTGAACTGGAACTGGAAACAAAGGCGTGAAAAGCAATTATTATAATTGAAACGAGCGGCATTCTGCAATTAAACTGATAAACGTTTTCAATTGAAAATGCATTCAGATTTAATTGCTGCTCAATTAGAGAAACGTAACATCGGACTGACTATAAATTTTGGTACATTATGCCTTCCTCATCAAGTACCTGTTAAATAAATGTCGCGTTTACGGACCTTGGCCACTCTGGTGCTACTCTGCAGTCTTTGTGGCAGTGGAAAGGTACGAAAATTGAAAAGCCTACAAAGTAATGCTATTGGATGCCGTTTAGTGATTTCATAAATACTTGTATATTTATCAAGTTCTGTGCTAAGTGTTTGTGAAATTAAACCGAAAACGTTCTTTAAAAACTGAATTCAATCGAATTATGCGGAATATAAAATGTTCTTAAATCCGCTTCGTAAGTCAAAGCCAAAACAAAGCGAATTTCGAATCTACTACATTCGATTCCGCATAGTATTGACTAAAATTTTCAATGGATTCAAGTCCAAAAATCTCGCACTACAGTAATAAATCGATCAATAATAATGTTCTCTCTTTCAAGTTTTTAAAAAAGAGTCGCAGGTTCAGAGACTTTCAACAGACTGACTATTTTATTAAGAAAAACTTTTATCACTTATCTTTTGCAGACTGCTGACTATGATATCATAGCAGATGATAAAACATTTCTGGAGAATTGTTATGGCAAGGATAATAAAGACTATTTATCGCTTCTGGATATCATAGATATTTCGGGACTGCAATATACGGTGGCTGATGATCTGGAAACGATTTATGTGAATGGCAATATTGTTTTCAAACTTAGCATTCCGGACGAGCCCATCAAAATACATGTGGAGGTGTGGCGCTGGGATCGTGGTGTCTGGAAACCAACCTTATACTCAATGAACCGCCCAAATTTGTGCCAAGCAATTCGCAATCCTCTGGAGCTTTGGCATTCGATTATAAGAAAAATTTCTGACAAGCAGCTCGTTTGTCCCCCACAGAAAGATGTAAGTATGAAAAGGTTAGTGGGATTGCTATACAAGTAGTTGCAAAGATTTCACATCAAATTGGTAACACCAAGAAAACAATTGATATATCAGATAAAAATTGAATCATTTTTACAAACAATGTGATACAGATATTTAAAACATATCCTGGTGCGGTAGTTATACCTGAAAGAAAGCAATACCAGGTCGGTGTGATAGTAGTATCTCCTACTTAAGAGATCTTTGGAGTTCCTAGTTTAAGATTTTATGTACTCGCGCCCATTATCTTGGTGAGGGAGCCAGTTGTAATCACACTAGTCATCCAGTTGTCGGTGCTTTCAAGTGTCTCCAACCACCTGCCGAACTGCAGGGTACTATATTATCCAACTAATGACTAATGTTTATAAGAAATTTAAAATGTCTTAACCGTGTAAAAAAACACACCATATATAAATCTGAACGATATTTTAAATTGTACGCTGTTTCGGGTATGAAATAATTTAGCAAAGTTTAGGATTAATTGGAATTTTCTCACCACCTCACACCCCAAGCCCCATTGAGGTTGCTCCCCAGCTCTATTAATGGCAATACACTTGTAAATGTTAAGCCAATAATTTTTATTATAATTCATACTATAGTCATACTTCTAACAAACGCTCAAAACCCTTTTTGAAACGTTTACAGGGCATCTATACGTTTAGGAACTTGACGAATCGTCTGGAGTTGAACAATGTGCCCCGCTGGGATGTGGAGGGTAATGTGAAGATAGTTACCGAATTTAAAATCGGCGCGTTCAAAACTTGTCTGGTCGTCTATGCGAGTATCCATCGAAGCCAAAGCTGAAGCTGAAGCCGAAGCTAGACTAATGGACGGACCGTAACCTTTGATTTTGGAATTTGTTTTGCTTGCTCGGCACTTAGGCACTTGAGTAGCACTCGTAGTTAGTGTTATTTTTTATTATTTTCACGTTCTATCTAAATTAAATGCAAATAAACAACCATTTCAGACACAGAAATGCCGCGTAATTTGTGGCCATACCTCCAATTGTTGCTGCTTCTGGGGATTTTGGCCAAATGGGCCCACACTGATAAGCTTCTGACTCTTCTGGCTCATGGTCCAGTAATCCCTTTTTTTATTTGCGAATGGATCAACTGTCGCAGTCAGCTGTCAGTCACCCGGTCCGGCGCCATCGAAATCGCAATGGCGCGTCCCCAAAACAAAACAAAACCAAAAAATAAAAAAATAAAAAACGTGAAACTTATATTCTGATTGTGCCGGGCGCTATGTCGGGCCTCGACTCACAAAATAGCGTCAGACAGAGAGCGCGAGAGGAAGAGAGATTGGCAGAAGTATTTGCCGGAGATTTATGCTACGGCTTTAACTTTAATTGTGCGACTATATACATATATCTATATATTGAGGCAACGAGGCACGCGCGCCTTGAAAACTCAAACTGGAACTGGAACACTTGTATGTCGTCGTCTTCGTCGCCGTCGTCGCCAATCTACAATCTACTACAATCTACTTGATATTGACATAAGAATTGGGCAAGATGATTAGTCACACTGTGCCTAAATAGAGACCAAAGCAATCTCATGCTGTTATTCTATTGGTAGCGTGACTATATTAACGGGTATAAGTATATAACATTTAATTAACTAAGTCGCTTGACATACCCGAAGAACCATCAAAGTAAGGGATCGTTGCTTCTACATTCTTAAATATATACTTAATTGAAATTCTTCTTCATCGATACGGAACCAACTCTTCCATGGAAATATATTTTTAATAAGCGACTTAGGAAGGTCTTAGAAAGGTCAAGCGATTAGCTCGCCCGTCTGAAAATAGAATCTCTTTTGAGGATTCAATCGAAGTCTTGGAGAGTGGAAGACTATTGTTTCGAATTAAGTGCTCTCTTCTCTTCTCTCTATTGTGTATTTAGAAGTTGAAAAAGGTCTTCCTTTAGGGTGCATTCAGGTTCCTCTTTAATTAAGAATGAAACGTATTTTTTTTTCAATTCAAACCCAGAGTTGAAGTTGATATTAAAAATGGATAATATAAGTAATAGTATAAATATTAAACGATTTTTGTTTACGAAAGGAGGTTATCAATTAGACAAGTTACCCTCCCGTTCAAGGCTGAAGAACATATAGTATTTTAAAATTCTACAACCCTGTTATTATAGCGCCAGAGAGACTGAGGATAGCCTCAAGAGTGGAGAGACAATTGAAAATTTAATAACTTAGAGAGAGAGAGAGAGAGAGAGACTGGATTACAAAAGTTTCCCATACCCCATGGGGCAGAATCGATAATGGCAAGCTCAGTGAGCAGCCGATCGTTTGGTAAGAGAGGCCATTAATTACATTACCTGTCAAGCCAGTACATACATATATACATATTACCACATATATGTAGGTATGTACATATCTTAGAATGTTGAGGTATGCAGCTGCAAATTGCAGTTCGCTGGCCGGGAAGCAAACACACACCAGCATACTTGTATGGGCCAACAACACGTGCGATGGTATCGTCTATCATTTCTTGGTTAGTTGGGCAATTCATGATATATATTTGTATATGTATATATAGTACTATACTATAGAAAACACAATAAACGCTTTTGCAGGCTTTGTGTTTACATCATAAATGTTAACCAGTATAGTGTGCCGGTTAAAAGCGCCTCGAACTGGTCATGACCTGTTACTTGCGGATTGAGGTTGAAATACAATCCAACCTCTTCCCCACCCTTCTCCACATTTTAACCATTCAAGCCAGTGCATGCACTAAACCTCTCTGTTCGCCATACATAGCACATATTTTTAAATATATACATATGCATATTGTCTCGGGTTGTGTTTACAAAGAAAATCTGCTCTTTGGGTATTTATCACCAGCTTTGATTTCTATATCTTCGTCCCCAGAAGAATTGATGTAGACCAGCCTGTCTGCTGTCGGTCTATCTATCCGTCCAGTATTTTCATGCTTTTATTAAGCCTCCTTCTTTCGTTAGGCTTATTTAATAATCTTTAATACAACTGTTGTTCAGCAAGAAAAAGAAAACGAGAACTGTATTTTAAAATACCTAACATCCTAACAGCTTAACAACCTTCCTCGACCACTCCTCTAACAGGAAAGTTTTCAGCATTTTCTTCGAAGTAATATTTTGAAAGCAGATCCGATCCAGCAAATTCCCAAAGATGTTCAATTGGGTTCAGCTCTGGCGATTCAGTTATAGTGCAATTAAAGATTCATGTTATAGGCTGTGTATTTGGAATCGTCGCCTAGCCTTAATTTGCTGGCTACATGGTGCAAAATTTTTTAAATATTATATTATTTATTATATTTATTGAAAGGCACGATGGTCGGAGCAAGGTTTGGTAAATTGTGATCGTCGAATATTTGCATTCAGTTTATACGCAGTTTTTCAAGAAAAAATAGATGAGCCTGCCTTCGTACTACACACATACATACTTATACAAGTATGTATGTGAATGTATTTGGAATAACTAAACAGCTGTAATGCAGCGAGTTAATCGATAAACGAATGCGGGCCTGTCGCATCGATATCCGATTGCAGCGAGCACATGAGTTGCGTGCCCAACATGGCGTATGCTTATTTTACAGTTAGGACAGGATACAGGCCGTCAGTTATATTTGCATGATTGCTTGATTGCTCGATTACTTGATAGCTTGATAGCCACGCCCGATCCACTCCCCCCGCTTTGTTAGAGCTGTTCACACAAGGTTGCGTTTTGTTTAAAAAATATATTTCATCTGTCATTGTTTGCCATTAGTTTTCAACGCTTTTCCCACTTCCTTTTTTGAATTGTGTATATCACTCAAACGTCCGCTTGGCTTTGGCCCTGCGACGCAAATTGCATGAATTAGACAAGATGTGGCAGCACGTGTGTGTGGGTGTTTGTGGGTGTGTGCCACTATTTACTGCATTTATATAACTGTAAATAGACAAATGTTTCGAAATGCAAATAAATAGAATGCCAAGCTGACGACGCGCGGTCACAATTAAATGTCACACACACACACACACACACATGTACACCCACAAACAGTTAGTGTTGTTGTTGTTGTTTTTGCATTGCTACTGGTGTTGCATCTGGACTGCATTTTAATTTCAAAGTTACTTACTTTTCGTCGCCATCGCGCTCATCATTTGATAAAATAAAGTACAGCATTTAATCAAATATGCTTGTAACTGCCTACGTGCGTGTGTGAGTGTGTGTGTATGTGTGTGTGTGTATGTGTGTGCGCGTAGCAAAGCGGGCATGCAAACGAACAAGTGAATAAAAAGTGCAAATACAATGTTTTTAAGTTAAATAAATATGAATTAAATTAAACAAATATAAATTAAATTAATTAAGTAAACAAACAGCAACACGAAAAATGCTCAGGAACAAATAAATAAATAACACATTTTATTGCGCAAAAATACACACACACACACACACACACACACACACGCACACTCACGCACATACCTAAAAGCAACGGCACGCAAATGGAACTTTTCAGACTATGTCTCGTCTATTTGCGAGTTTAAATACAACGCTGTCATTTTTATAAGTACAACACAACATACACACAGTATTACATCGATAATCCGGCAAATAGGTGTTCAGCCAATATCCGAAATACCGAAAATTCCAGATAACCGTGTCGTACCAGCTCTACTTGTATGACTCACAGCACTTGAAATAATAACAATGCTGTACTTATAATTCCTATGCCAGCTATATGATATGGTGAGCCAATTTTGATAATTCTTCAGATTATGGTGAGGCGGTAGAAAAAGAAATAATGACTACCAATTTCGCTTGACATATCTTAATAAACAAACATGTTTGTGGTTTTATTTCTGCACCTTTCGTCCCTATGGCAGCTATATAATAGTACACCGATTTTAGATCATTAGGAGGAACTTAAGAGAACCTTTAAGTAATATATATTTACAATAAACTTGATTTGTGTATGCGATAGCATGGGGCTTAAAATTATATTATCTTGCAATGAAGGTTTTCTCGTTAAAGCTCGATACATGAATTCTTCGAATTGAATATATTTCAAAACAACGATTTCTTCTACTTTGTTCTTGTTCCTGATAATCATAATTTTATCCAAAAACTATCAACCACTCCCCATAGTCACTTGATTTGGTTCCGAAGCACTTGCTGGCCAATGGCCTAAATTATTAGTTCGAATTGCTTCTTGGCCATTCAAAACGTTGTATTAAGTTGGAAGATGATTATTTTTACTAAAATTGTTATTCTTTTGAAGCACCATGTATTTTCAATAGTCCATTATTTTGAATATTCGAACAATCAAGTGTGCACACTATCGAGATTCCACTGTATTTGTGTGCACAGAGCTGCAAAGATGCGAAAAACCGAAGTGAAAATTCACACATTTAATAACATTTTTCAAAAAATGCCGTTGAGCACGTGACCCTTTCCGCTCGGCTGCTCACGCTTGCTCGCAAATTACTTTTTGAATTTATTATTAAGTTTCTTATTTTCGAGCAATTTCCATAAAACTTTAAACGCCATTAAACGCTTTTTTTTCGTCCATTTTGTAGAGTCATTACAGAATACTCGTATTTTATGAAAAGTCGCAAATATTAGTTAATTATTTAATTCGCGGATTGGAATTCGATTGTATTTATGCTGAGATGGGTGTGGAGGCAGGTAATCCGATCAGAAATAAATAATTAACTAATTGAAGTCAGCTATGCTCTGAGCTAACAATTGTCTAACATTGAAGTTAATAATTATTTCAGAATTGTGGAACACCTTCGAGGATCAGCCCGACTTTTGAAAACCATGCAACTACTCTTCTTCCCACTACAGCCCCTTTAAATACATATAAACAATATTTACAATATTTTCTATGAAAGCTCTAACCAATATTCATATAAAAAAAATGTCAAACAAATAAAATGAAGAGTTTTTCAAATTACTCGTGATTTCAGTTCAGCTATAAAACAATTTATAGTTCCTATATTCTAACAATCATACAAACAATGACAAACATCAGTTCTAGTTTATTGACTTTAGCAAAACACAAATGATAAATAAATAAAATGATTGCGGCATTGTGTGAAATACTTACTTCTCTGACGATGACTAGCTTTATTATTACCTACTACATTATTAATTAAACGTAAGGGGGTGGGCAAAACTTTCCACACAACGAAATGATACGAAACTTCGCAGGCAAATAAAAAATGGAATGAAATGGAATACATAATACGAATAAACTGTTTGCATCTGGACAGGGGCCCCAGTTAGCACCGGTCATATAACAATCAGCCCCGGCCCCGAAACCCAAAGAATGAACGGCGCTTTAAGGTGTTAAACAAATGCCAAGAATGAAGCCAATTTGGCGAGGCACCCACACGAGCCCGCTTAGAGATCCAGCCTCAGACCCAGTCTCAGACCCAGTCTCAGACCCAGTCCCAGACTCAGACTCAGACTAAGGGAGCACACGTAAAGTTCAAAACATTGATCTGTACATCAAATTTTTATGGCGCACTGTAGATAATGTGCTAATCAGTGAACAAATGCGATTTTTTGTGAAACACGGCTTCTGCGTTCGTTCGATCGATCGATCGATCGATCGTTTGCTTTTTACGCCTCAGGTCTCAGTGCAAATGGAAAGTGTTGTCCATACACGGCCAAATCACAAATATATATACTAAGTACGTATATGCTGATGATGCGATGAGAAATATTGGAATGTTTTAGAATGCGGAAGCAATGAGCTCTCCTTCAATATTTCGTATTTCCGATTTTAAGTGGCATTTTCCTTTGCGATCTTTTCGCAAAAAATAATTAGCAATAATTGCAAAAGTCTATCGGTTGACTGGCTAAGATAAATGATATAATATTTATTTAAGCCCGATATGGTTAGCTTAGGTTGAGTTGGGTTGGGCGATGACCTAAAGAGTGGGTATATTTGTAAGAACATTTCGTTCCGTTGGTTTTTTGTATATCGGTGAAATTATTTAGCAAGAATTAGACAGTAACTGGGAAGGGGTTCTACTTTTTCCCTTCCTTCCTTCCTCATCTCTTCAGCTTCGACAGAAATCAGTGAATGGAATGCCAAGTCTTGCTGCCGAGAACTGAAAACTTCGATCTGTTTTAGTTTTGAGCGTGTTGTGGCTCCTTTGATAATTAGGGTGACGAACTCTTCTCAGTCTCTTCCGTAACACACAGACTGGCTGCAGATTTGTCCGATTCCGTCCTCGTCAGGAGGGAAGGGTACGGTACTTCCCCTCAATGCTCCCCCTATGAGCTTAACACTGTCCTGCTGGACTAACCCGTTAAGAGTTGAAGATTCCAGAGTTACTTATGTCTAAGCAAAGGGTAAAGTAGCCTGTCTCTACATTAGTTGCAGGGATTCAGAAGACGGAAGGAGTAGATCTCTGCTCTGACTCTCCCTTCGAGCTGGGAGCCATGCGTAAAGAGTTTAAATGCATTGTCTCTTACGTGTGGAAAACATTTCCTTTCTTATCGTGCAGAAATCCTTACTTCGTACACCTTTTTAAGAGCAGCTTCCTTCCTACCCCTTAAATGCAGCTCTCTTAGGTTTCATTGCTAAATATCTGATTGGCCTTTATACAAGTATTCTTTTAAGTCTTTTAATTGCAATTAACAGCTCAATTATAAGTAGTAGAAACAGTAATTGCGTTTCAGTGAAGAATCCTCTTTAGTGTCTCAATAATTTCTTGACTTTGTTAGTAACTCTTTTCAAGAATATTGATATCCTAATAGCTATATATCTACACACACTCGCACAAACACACATAAAAGGCAAAATAACACGTAATTTTAATATTTACTTGCAGTTCTAAATTGTTTCACTAACGATTTGGCACCACGCTGTGAAGTGTTGACATTTGCGAATCGAAATATTTACATATTTAATTAGAATGTGATTCATAATAAAATATTTACTACTTTATTCTGCTAAGTTTCGGTCTCTTTGAGTTTATTATATTTATGATCTGTATTCAATTTACAATTGTTTTGAAATCAAACGCTTTTAAAATAACATTTCTACGATGAAGAAAAACAATATTTTATAGCATTTGTCTAAACTATAAGTTGGGGTATATTTTTTATGTTTGGCTTATCCTGATTATCGTAGACGTGGTCAACAATTTTTTTGTCCCGGTTCCTGATATACGATCAAATAGTTTAAGCAATGGAAAGGGGAGAATCGTCTCCGAAGAAGGCGAAGACAGTCCCACCTGGAGGCAAATTTTTCAAAATGAAAAATAATCAAGAATAGCTTCCTCACGCACTCTCTAATCTCGCCCTCAGATTATATATATTCCAAATCCGAAAGAATGGCTCTGTGCTTAAATATTAGCCGACAATGAAGAGGCAGAGTCTGGGGCTGATAGTTATTTATTGAACATCGAGCTAGAAGGAATAGATCATTTATCCTCAACTTTGTTGTGTTTTAAATAATAAATCCAAACTAATAAAAGCAATTTAAGAAAAAACATAATACTTATAAGCAAAAATAAAAATGTAACATAAATTCTGCAATTGTTATTCAAAAATAAATGCATTAAAAGTCTTTTGTATTATTCTATATATTTTAGTCATAAGTGTTGGGGGTTCATAGACATTATCCTTTTTGTAGTTTAAAAGAAGAACAACATATAGTTGAAGAAACTAAAGCTGTGGTTCTATGATATTGCAAATTATAATGCGTCGCTATATTTTGCATCGCGCGGGAATTACAAAATTTGTTTAGATAGACAAACAACAAGCTATCAAATAAAACGATCGATCGAACAACCAACCATTCTAGTAATTATTCAATATCATGTCCAATGTACAAGCGAACAAAAAAGCCCCCAAAAAATAAAAACACACTTCAAGTTGCAGGAATTCATTAATGTTTTGCTTCCCTCACACAAAAAAGAATCACAAACAACAAACAAATCAGCGATCGGGCAAACGTCATTACCCAAAAAAAAAATATTAATGATAATACATAACAACAATACAGAAAATAAAGCAATTAAGTTTTGCATGTGATTTCAAGTTCTGATCAGTTCGCCGCCTCTCATTGTTATCATTGTTGAAGGCCTGCTGTTGGTGTTGGCCCGCTGGTGTTGGCCTGACCAACGGCTAATTGATAAAAAATAAAAAGAAGACGCCAGGCGAACGGCGTTGAGACGATAACGTTGGGACGGACAGTGGAGCTATAATGAGCATGATGAGTCAGATTCGATGGGCAAGATTGTGCTGGCAAGTGTTTCTGCTGCTTGGGTTTATTAATTGATTAGTAGATTGTTTGATTTGCCCCAAACACTGTCCAGCAAAACGGCGAATGCTTTGTTATTGCAACAATAGGTTGCTTTTCAAAGAAGAATGACGATAGCTCTATTGAATTCTATGGAATATTCATTCCAAGTACTATTGGCAATTACTAGAGTAAGCAACTAAAATGCTTGCTAATGACTTGGAGCGATATAGAAATGAATACAAAATAGTTCATTTTGCATGAATAAAAGAGCTAAGTAGCTCGTATTTGAAATTGTTATTCATTTATAAATTGTATTTAAGCTTAAAGTAAACAGAATGCTCAAAAAATATTCAATATTAGTGAGATACATCTACTTTTCAATAGCCCATTAAAATTGCTTGACAATCGGATGAATACAATGAATAAAGTAAAAAAATGACAAAAAATTGCTCAGAATTTAAAAATTCAAAAACTGATTGTATCAAGTTTCAAAACATAGAAATGGATTTCAAAACGACACTGAAAAGTGTCAAAAGTCGATTAGAGAAGTCAAAAGTGGAGACAATGCTGATTTGTTTCTACGATTTGACGGGAATTATTCATCGAGAAATCGTTTCTCCAGGACAAATGGTTAATGATCGGTTGCTGCATCCATCAAAAATACTTGCCCTTATAATATAAGTACATATATTAAACGTTTTATTATTTTGATATTGTTGGATCAACAGCTTCACAAGTTGATCAACTTTTTGTAAAAGAATATTTCTAGATGGAGAATGGAGAATAAACACCAGAAACTGCAGATACGTGTCAAAGAGCCAGTTTTCCTTTTTATGAATAGGCTATTCCTTTAGTTTCATGGAACTGGAACTTTTGTACACTTCTCGAATCCCCATAACTCATTCACCGGTGTCACTCGAAACAAACTCCAAAATACAATCCAGGGACTACAAACGTGCACCAAAAAAAAGTAAAACACAAAAACTCGCCAAAAAAAAAAATTTACAAAAAAGCCAAAAAAAAAAAAAAAAATTCCATCAGCTAGCCATGCCGTATAGCTACGTGGTATCCGTGGACTTTGAGGCCACTTGCTGGGAGAAACAGTCCGCACAGCAGTGGCGTATGGCGGAGATTATAGAATTCCCCGCCGTGCTGGTCAACCTGAAGACGGGCAAATTCGAGGCCGAGTTCCACAAGTATGTGCGGCCGATGGAGTCGCCCCGTCTAAGCAGATTCTGCACTGAACTGACGGGCATTCAACAGAAGACTGTCGACAATGGTGTGCCTCTATGTGCTGCACTCAGGATGTTCCACGATTGGCTGCTCAAGGAGTTGCGTGCCCGCAATCTGACACTCCCCAAGATGCACAGGGACAACATGCAGGGCAATTGTGCATTCGTGACCTGGACCGATTGGGACTTTGGCATGTGTTTGGCCAGGGAGTGCAGTCGCAAGCATTTGCGGAAGGCCCCGTATTTCAATCAGTGGATAGATGGGCGTGCCATCTACAGGGACTACTACAACTATCGTCCTTGCAATTTTACGGATGCCCTAACTCATGTCGGACTCGCATTCGAAGGACGTGCCCATTCCGGCATCGATGATGCCAAAAATCTCGGCTCGCTTATGTACAAAATGGTGCGCGATGGCGCCATCTTCTCAATTACAAAGGATCTAACGCTGCAGTATTAGCTGCTCCTTTCCAAGTGTCTGTTGTGACTCCACATTTGGGAGCATTTGTTAATTATATATTTTTTATAATTCTCCATCTTGAACTCTGTATGTGTATGTTGTAAGTGTAGATTGTGGAGTCTAAAGTGGAATGTGTGTGTGCGTGTGTGTGTCCCAAGTATTAAATCGTGATGGAGAATACCTATATTTCAATAATATTATTCAAAATATATGTTTGTTATGCAACGACTTACATTTCCTCTCTCTCGCTCTCGCTCTCCCTCTCTCTTTTACTCTTTATTCCATTACGTGGACTAACCTCAGAGAGATGTACGAGAAATTGGATTTCAATACTAGTTTAACAAATGTTTAATTGTAGATTGTAGAGTGGAATGTGTGTGGAGAAAAATACATGTCCTTCTTCCTTTTTCATCAACATTTATCATCGTTTATTGACTTCTTGTATGAAGAAATGTTCGAGAAAACTGGCAAGGCGTGTAGAATAAAAAATTGCTTAGTTTATTGGGCGTAAGGTGTCCTAAAGATATTAGAGAAGGAATGCATATGTATTTAAAACTGTGAAAAGTTTGATTTAAATGTTATTTTGTACAAATAAAATAGAGACATACTATGGAGTTAATCAGTTTTCAAACCTTACAAACCTTTACAAACGTTGGAGATTAAAAAATGAGGTCTGAGCTAATACGAGAGACACAAATGTAGACATTTTGTTGTTTCTATTGAATTTATAAATTAATGCCAATACGTCATTCAAAGCGAATATCGAAAACAAATCGTATTGAATAAAATAACATTCGTACATACTCGTATATAGATATGAGCATTAACAAGTTTAATGAAATGCTATGAATAAATCAGATAAAAATTTAGATAATTAATTATGTGGAATCTACAAAACGCAGTGGTGAAGATTTGTTAGCCAGTCGGGCAAGCTATGCCCGCGTCAGACGCTTATTCGGACACAATATATTGAAATATAAAGTCTAGAACAAAATACCGTAGAGTTTTTTTTTGCGGTAAAGGAATTTTTATTAGCTTGTTAGGCAAGCTACGATGTCGTGCGCTGTTTTTTTTTTTTTTTTTTGGTTGTTGTTTGTTTATTTGTAAAGTGTTTTATTCTTTAACTGCTCTATCAGAATAATGTTTTACTGTTATAATTACAAAAATTTGTTGCCAAAAGGAAAAACTGCAATCAACTTAAAAAGTTGACAATTAAACAAACAATTAAAGGATATCCTCTAGCTTTTGATTTTGGAAAAAACAAAGCATACTTTTAAGAGAGAAATAAAAAAAAATATGTAATTTCCTAAGAAACTTGCTGCGAATTTATGTTATCCTGTTAGTAGAGCATAGTTCAGCAGTTATATTTGAGGAAACCAAGGTATACTTTTAGGAGATAAATAATTATATAAACTGAGATGTTGGGAAACTTGCAACTGCCTAAAGTTTGTCAGGTCCATATGCCAAGTTTCAATTAAATAAGCCCGATCTCGTCTTCAATTCAGATCGGCGAACTTAATTACTTGACTTGAAGAAATTGTAGCATAATTATGGGAGCCTGATAAGATCGTACGGTACTTTCTTAGAGAACTTGCTGATTGTTAGTGCTTTTCTCGTTTTCAAGTCACACTTTAAACCAAGACTTAAACTAGAATACAAAAGAACACACATTTTCAACTACTTGTATGTTAGTAATTGGATTTGAAAAAATCAAAGCATAGTTTTAGGCGCACTTAATAATGAAATGCTCAGTAATCACAGCAATTGACAGACTGAAACCTTGAAATGCTATCCTCTTCGTCTATATTTTATAATAACTCAACTATAATATTCTCTCTTCTTACGTACTATATGCGAGTTCTTCTTGAAAGTCTTTTGTTTGACAGGAGTGTGGTTCCTGTTGCTTGTTAAAAGCATTATTTATTGGATCGACACTACCCCCCGCCCCAAGTAATGTCTTTGTCTTGCGATTGCCGCTTGACGTCAATGCGGCGGACAGTATGTAGACAGAGAAAAAAGTTGGTGGAGGTTGTTGTTGTTGCTGTTCGCCCGGCCTAAGCGACTGGTACTGGTCTTGGTGTACCGGTTCACCTTGTAAGTCGGCCAGCGCCGGCGCATTCGAAGCATATTAAGAAAAACCGACGACTTGGTTTTTAAAATTCGATGATTTTTTGATTTAAGCTTTAGTTTTATTTGTCTGTGTGTGTGTGTGTGTGTGTGTGTGTGTGTGCGTGTGCATGTGTATATTTTTTGAATGCGCTGCCAAAGCGAAGGGGAGGCAAATTCGTTGACGATTGTCTGTTTCACTGGCTCTGGGTTCATTTTATTGTTTTCTGTCTGTCCACCTGTCCGTCCGTCTGTCTGTCCGTCCGTCCGCATGTCTGTCTGTTCGCTGAATGCTTACCTAACATTATTTCGGTTCACTTCTAATCGACGCCAAAAATTGAATTTAACGCAACGTCGCCAGTTTATTGGCCATTTTGCATATACTTGTATGTATGTATTTCTCTTTCTCTCTCGGTCTCCCTCTCGCTCTCTGTTTCTTGGCTTGTTTTGGCTTTGAGTTCTTCGAACTTTGTTGGCTGCAAAGTTCATGAAACGCTGTGCGAAACGATTGCCAAAGTTGGTTAATCATTAATGTTGTTTTCTTGTTGTTGTTGCTTCTGCTGCTGCTGCTGCCGACAACAATGTGTGCGAGGTAAAGTGTCTTTGAACGATAACAGCGATGCTGGCCACACCGGGCTTGTGCAGCTCTTGCCAATTGTGTTTTTGGGCCGATCTGCTTGCTGCCTCTTATACTCGTATGTATGTATCTGTCCCATCTTGGTTGCTCGCGGAAGCGCTCGACTGACTTGGCTGTACACTCAACAAATTTTTGTTCATACAATTTGTCTGACTGAACAAAGCTTGAATCTGCGGTCAGACTTGCAAATTTTTGTTATTTGAAATATTTTCGGTCTGAATTGAAGTACACTCAACAAATTTTTGTTAATACAATTTGTCTGTCTGGCCATAGCTTGAATCTGTGGTCAGACTTGCAAATAGTTTGCGTTAAGATTTGTGTTATTTTTAATGAAATTTGAATTGTTTTTTGGTTTTACTTGAAGTACACTCAACACTTTTTATCATACAATTTGTCTGTCTGGCCATAGCTTGAATCTGCGGTCAGACTTGCAAATAATTTGCGTGAGAATTTTTGGTCCTTTGAAACACAAATTTTAATTGTTTTTATGATTTCTTACTTAAGTACACTCAAAAAATTATTGTTCATACAATTTGTCTGTCTGACCACAGCTTGAATAATTTGCGTGCAAATTTTTTGTTATTTGAAATAAAAACTTGAATTATTTTCGGTTTTAATTGAAGTACACTCATGAAATTTTTGTTCATACACTTTGTCTGTCTGACCGAAGCTTTAATCTACGGCCAGACTTGCAAATAATAAGCATAAAAATATTGTTGTTATTTGAAATAAAAACTTTAATTGTTTTTCGTTTTACTTGAAGTACACTCAAAAAATTGTTGTTCACACAATTTGTCTGTCTGACCACAGCTTGAATCTACGGTCAGACATGCAAATAATTTGCGTGAAAACTTTTGTTATTTTGAGTGAAATTTGAATGGTTTGTGGTTTTAATTGAAGTAGCATTCATGTAATGCCTATGAGTTTGTATGCAAACTATCTACCTGTCCGAGCATATCCATTAAACTTTAGGTCGCAGGTGTTCTTAATCAAAATAATCCTTAATTTTGAGTTCATTGCTCTCGCTTTTAGGGCATAGTGTTTTGTTGAGTGTGCGCGTATAGGCATTGCCCAAATGGAACTGTTAGTCGCTGACCGATTTCGTATTTCTTTTTGGCAGATGTGTTTTCTTGAAATTGTCTGACATACATACTACTTATACTCTGGCACGCTCGTATGCACATGTGTGTGTGTGTGTGTGTGTGTGTGTGTATTTCGCAAGAAACATAAATACTCGTACATGGCGCAAACAATTTATGTTTTGTTTTTTTTTTTTTGTGATTTTTGTTGTTGTGGTTGTTGTATTTGTATTTAATGTAGAACCGGCTGGCTACATGGCTCAGGGTTGATCGTTGGCAGTTTCTTGACACTGTCAACTCGGCGAATTCGAATGCTGAATGCGCATGCGCACAGTTCCTGCTTCGGTGTTTCGTAGACACTCGAGTGTGTGGCCAACTATTCGTACTTACAATCTACAGATAGGTTGGCAAATGCCAGCAAAGCAGTTAGAACAGCGGCAGGGCTGGCCAAATGCTCTCAGTCGTTGGCCTTGAGCTTTGCGCACGTTTCTGCACCGAACCAGTTACAATGGTCGTCGCATTCCAAGAGCCAAGACCGCGCCCCAACCTCACTCACTTGGTGGTGGCCCAAACGCTTTCCATTTCCAACTGGCCAGACATTCCTTTCTGGCTAATTGGCCAGCTAGCTGATTCGTATGTGGCTAAGCGAAAGGCCGATTGTCTTACAAATACTTTCCCTTCTAATGCTCTCCATTGTCTGAATAATCATGCTCATATAGTACGAGTATATATGTATGTATGTAGGTATATGTGTGTATCTGCGAGCTTGTCATTCGTGCGTTACCCGATTAAACAATTAACAAGCGTTCAGCAAATATTCTCACACAGTTCACTGGCTTTAGATTTATAATTGATTCGCAAACGGTATGCTTGCTTGGGAAAGCTGGGCCTCTTCGCCAATGCCAATAGTTTCTCGAGAACATTTGTACTCAGAGTGGGGTAAGGGGTGTTGAATTGTTTGCATTTTTTTTTTTTAAATTCATTTGTCGATAGCTTGTAAAAAATCTTCCATCACTGGATCGGGGATTTTCCATTCTTTTCTTAAGTTAATTAATTAACAATGAATTAGTAGTAAGTCTCATTCTTCTTTTATTCAACAATTCTAAACGTCTCTAACACATTTGGTTCTCAATCGGCGGCATAGCATTTCAGGAAGTGTTATTAAACATAGTTGCAGCTTTGTCAGATTGTGTTTTAAATGTAAAAAGTACACTTAAAAATTTATTTAAAACGAGATCCTTTGGATCTGCTTTTCTTGATACATTTAAAATGTAGTTTATTTATAAGGCCTATAAATTGTAAGCATTT